AAAAAAAAAAAAAAAAAAACACGAAAAAAGACAAAAATAGAAAACAGTAACATGACAGACCTAAATACAACCATATCAATAATTACATTAAATAGAAATGTCTAAAAATTTCAACCAACAGGTTGAGGTTGTAATACTGGATTAAAAAAAAAGAAAAATAACCAATCATGGGCTGTCTACAGGAGAAGCAAAATACAAATTTAAGTTATAGAAAGAAAATGAGCATAACTAAGCTGAAATGGCTACATATTATCAGATTAAACACACTTCAACACAAGCAATGCTGCTACAGACAAATCAGGACACTCCATAAGGATAAAAGGGTCAATAAATGGGGAAGATAAATTATAAATGTAAATATAATTAATAACAAATTCAAAATACTTGAAGCAAAAGCTGGCAAAATTGATGACAGATATAGGAAAAGTCACAATCATAATTGACGATTTTAACACATTTCCCTCAGTCATTGATGGAACATATAAACCAAAAGGCAGTAAGAACAGGGAAGATCTGAGTGACACCACCAGCCACCTTAACCTAACTGACATGCATAAATCTTTATACCCAACAACTGCAGAATACCCTTTTTTTCACCTGCCATGGAACATTCAGAAAAAAATACCATCTGCTAGGCAATAAAACAAATCTCAGTAAAATGGAAATCTTACCAAGTATGTTCTCAGAACACAACAGAATTAAGTTAAAAATAAACAATAAAATATCTAGAAAAGCCCCAAATATGAGGAAGTAAATGACTCACTTTTGAATAAACTATGAGTAAAAGAAATCACAAATTAGAAAATATTTTGAAATGAATAATAAAAAAAAGTCCACATATTAAGATTTTTGAGATGCAGTTAGAGCAATGAAATCAAAAGCTGTTTCTTTGAAAAGATGTAATAAAATTGATACTCCTCTAGCTAGAATGATCAATGGAAAAAAACTGATCAGAGAGAGAAAAAGAAAAGACAAAATACCAATATTAGGAATGAAAACAAAGATACCACTACAAGCATTAAAGGTTAATACCTCTAAGTCAATAAATCCAATTACACAGACAACTTACTTAAAAAAGGCAAATTGCCAAAACTGACACCAAAAAGAAATGAAAATCTGAACAGCTTTATGTCTACTCAAGAAAAGGATGCAGTAATTGAAAATCTCTGAAAAAAGAAAAACCTATGCCTAGATGGCTTCATTAGTGAAGTTTAGCAAACATACCATAGGAATAATATTGATATCAATACTACAAGACTACAAAAAAGAATTTACAAAAACTCTTTCAGAAAATGGAGGAAGAAATCACGGTAAATCCATTATGAGGCCAATACTACCCTGATACCAAATCCAGCCAAAAACATCAAAAGAAGAGAACTATAATCCGATATTTCTCATGAGCATAGATGTAACAATTCTTATCCAAATTTTAGCATATCAAATCCAATAATATATAAAAAGGGTAATAATTCATACCTAAATGGAATTTATTCATGGAATGCAAAATTGGTTTAATATCCGAAAATCAATCAGTGCAATTCATCATAATAATAGAATAAAAGAGAAAAACGAGGTCATTTCAATAGATAAAGAAAGAGCATTTAACCAAATGAAAATCTATTCTTCGTTTAAAACAAAAAACTCTCGGTGAATAGAACTTTCTCAGCCTGACAAAGAGAACTGACGAAAATCCACAGCTCACATCATACTAAATGGTGAAAAACTGAATGCTTTTCACCCAAGAACAGGAAGAAGGCATGATGTCCACTCTCATCACTTCCACTCAACATCAGACTGAAAGTTCTAGCCAGTGCAACAAATTTTAAAAAAGAAATAAAAGGCATACAGATTGGAGAGGAGGTAGTAAAACTGTCCTCATTTATAGGTGACATGATTGTGTACACAGAGAAACCTTAAGAAATCTATAAGAAGGCTATTATAATTAATAAATGAATCTGGCAAAATAGCAGGATACAAGATCAAAAACAACATGGAGATTAAACAAGATCAAAAACAAACACTGCGGAAATAAACAAAACCTAAATAAGCGGGAAATATAACAAGTTCACGGCTTGGACAATTCCATATTAAGACGTTAATTCTCCCCAAATGGTTTATAGATTTAATGCAATCTCAGTCAAATACTAGAAGCCATTTGTTTGTAGAAACTGACAAGTCAATTCTAAAATTTATATTTTTTAATGTTACAAATTTATTTTTACAATTTGTATTTATATATTTACAAATGTAAACAATCTATAATAATCAAAGCAATTTTAAAAAGCAAAAACAAGTTGGAGAATTTAGACTATCTGATTTTAAGACTTATAAGCTACACTATTTAGTATGGCAATACTGTTCACACAAAGACAAAATCACCTAAGGATGCATTTCTCAGAATGTATCCAGGTTGTTAAGCAACACATGACTGTATTGTATCATTATTTTGATCATAGCAGGGTCAAAAAGTGGGCTGTATGCAGGCCAGATTATAGTTGTTAAATATGACAAGGATGTATGTAAGCATCTTTAGGAAAAGTATTCTATTTAGTTTACTAATGTAAACCCAGTACTTGATACAGTGTCTGGTTCAAAGAGGGTACTCAATAAAAATTCCTTGAATGAATAGAAATGAGAAAACATGAGGTGAGACTGAAATAAATACGTATGATTGGGCATGGAATCAGAACCGACAACATTTACAGTGGGAACTGTCCACCACTTGGATTTTACATTTACCAACCACGGCACCAAGTTGCTGCAAGATACACATTCTATTGCATCTCCTTCACTCTGTTGATTATTTTTTTCTTAAAACAAAACAAAAGTCATATTAGTGTTCTCAACTGTTTAAGTAAAAGATGTACACTGTCTGAAATCTGTTCTGGCGATTCTTCAAAATGAGTTTTTTTCACTGTTGTTTCCCCACGATGATGATGATGATGATGATGATGATGATGATAATGATATGCTCTATCTCCAATTATATTAACAAAAATTCAGTAAGAGGATTCTCTCAAGGAGGCGCCAATTGTAATGGAGTCTTTTAATCCAATATTTTATTCATAAGTAACAAGAGAAATGGATTTGATTGTTTACTGCCTGCTAGATTCACAGTACTAAAAACAAATTGTTTACAAATGATAGCTTTGTGAAAAATGAAATTTGCTTAAAAGTATGACATTACCAAAGTTTTTGTGTAACAATATGCTTAAAGAAAAACGACAGTACTGTAAAAATTAATTTTATATAACAAAATCCTTATATGGTTTATGGTTTGGATTTGATCCCAGGCTTTCATTTCCTTATGTGTATTACTCATATATAACATGGAAACATTAAGTAATCGCATGATTTTCAAATGTGGCTTTTCATTGCCATTTTCTCACTCTTCTAATCTCTTTAGTTTCCTCTGATTCTGTTTCACCTATTTTTCACTTGTTTTCTTACCTTTTTCCTAATATCTCTTTAAATCTGAATATTTTCAAGTCTTTAACTCAAGTCCTTTTCAAATTAATTAATTTTATTTCTTTTCAATTAGCCATTCAAATTTTTTACTAAATCCCTGAACAGTAAATATAAATTTTAGCAGGTGAGAAAACTGTAGTTAAATGTTCTGGAAAGCATAAAGACAAAATTGTGAACTAGAGTCATTTTCTCACTTGTTTGTAAAAGTGATTAAATTGAGCATTTCACCTGTGTCCGAGAAGTCGCTTTTCCTTTGGTATCCGTAGAAAATTTGCCTTTATTACTAATACGTGCTGCCTGTTCTTTACAGAAATTTATATGTCTATCAGCTGCATTTTCATTAAATCTCCTCTGGCAATATGGGCACTGAATATAATCTAAAACAGAAAAAAGAAACAGATTAATAACATAATACTTGAAATGGGACATAAAGATTTATAAGTTTTTATGAATAGTAATTCAAGACAAATAACACAAATAACAACACGTAATAAGTGAAAACTCTCATTTCCTTATAACCACCCAACCTGACTTAACTAAACTTAATAAAGACATTTAAGAAAAAAGTCTGCTAGCATATGATAACTTCCAATTTTCTCCCAGCTTAGAATCAAATTTGAGGAAAAAAGAACAAAAGATAAATCCTTAGGACAAAACAATAAGAAGAGGGAAAAATGTTATTTTTTTTTTGCCTCTATAATACTGTATGTGTTCATCATATATACATATTTCTACACAGTAGACTAGTTAAGTAGTAACAACACAATACATCGAAAATACGTTTTAAAATTTGGGCTCATCTGTTAAAATTTTTTATTTCAATTAGAGGAAAACTGTCAAGGAATAATTTAATCTACTTTAAACAGTTTTATTTTTAGAGGTTCCAACAGATGGAAGAAGTGATAAAAATATACCTCATTAACATAATTAATTCAAATTTAAGAAACAGAAAATGTTTCCAAGATAAAATATTCTCCCAAAATGCAATTTATATTGTAAATGAAATTTCTGTTAAAATTAAATCTCAAAATTATCCCAGACCAAATTTTGTAGCACTGTACAAGTTCTCAATTCTACAAGACAATGAGAAGACATAAATACAAAAAAATTTAGTGGTGTCAAAAATATGCCAATTTATTTCAACAGGTTTACTTTTTGAGAGGGAGTGTGCCCTTCAGAATTTACACTCATCTGAAGTTCAGAATTTGTCCTGCTAACTAGCGGAGTAGGCATAAAATCTCTAATAACAAAGAAGTTGTTCTGTCAGGACTAAGAGATTCAAAAATTTCTAAAGTGCAAATTATCCTGAAGAACTGGCACTCTCTCTCTCTAATATATGCAAACATGAGAAATATAGCTACGTTGAATAAAATGCAATATACAAATACCTCCAATGCAGAAAGAAAATTCAACTTCATAGGAAAAATTAACGTAGAATTAGAAACCTAAACCTAGTTGAAACATCCCAGAAACACTCACAGCATTCAAGTTAATTACTGACACTCTAGAACAGGGGTTGGCAAACTAGGGCCTGTGGGCCAAATCTAGCATGCCTACTGCCTTTTTTTATAAAGAAAGTTTTATTGGAACAGAGCTGCATCCATTCATTTACATATTGTCTGAGGATGATTTCTTGCAATAGTGGCAGAGTTGAATGGTTGCAACAGAGATCTCATGGCCTGCAAAGCCTAAAATATTTACCATCTAGCCCTTTATAGAAAGTTTGTCAACCTCTCCTCTACAATAGAATGTTAAAAATGATCATATCTAGATTTTCAAAAGAGCCTTCTCTTTACTAAGAAATAAATCTCAGTCTAGAATACTAACACAATTTTAATGCAGCTAACTTGTTATATTAAAATAACTACCTCTTGAGGCTACTCTAATAACTAATGTCAAAGTGTCAACTGTGCTATTTTAAATCTTTCAGTATCTCAATATCTCAAATAAGGTTGCCAGTACCTTGCCTTGTTTTTGGTAAATTTAAATAGGTAACTTTTAAACACCCAATGAAGAAAATATGATAATACTTAAATTTAGGACATAATTCAGGTATATTGGTCTATAGGGTAGTCTCCCCACATGAATTGTATATTTTAGAAGCAATATGATATTCTTTTTTCCTTCCCCGATGACAAGATACTAAAGAACTAGGCAACATAACTGCCTGAATCTTACTGAGTAACTACATTTCAATCCAGTGAGCATGATGAAAATATTTCTTGGACTATTAACATTTAATAGTTACTACAATAATTTAAAAAATGGTATTATAATGCTTTATGTTAAAGTACTGAGATAAAAAGATAATGTATTTCTATGTTCAACACTGATGTGTCTTTATAAGCCTCAATGCCTGGATTATCACCATTATTTTATAGCAAAGCTTTTAAAGATTATGCTTCATCAGGTTCCATTATTATAAATTAAGTTTCTTAAAATTTATGAAAATTCTATCACCATCTTCTCCCCACATGAGCACTTCTGTCAACAATGCTCCATGTACCAGGATCATAAGAAGGTGGAGGAGGAGGAGGAAGTTTGCCGCCCTCTTTAAGGGCCTGATCAAGGCCTTTAGCAGCTCTTATGGTGGCAATGAATTCTTCATGTTTTCTTCTCCAGTTAGATGGCTTCTTTGGTGGTTCAGGCTATAAATAAAAAAACAACAACAACTTCAAAACATTATTTTTAAATAAACTGAAATAAAACTTAAGGAAATGCCATATTATTTTAAATGTTTTCTTATCAAGAGTCCTTAAATGATCTCCTTCCCAAATTTATAATTTTAAAAAGAAACTTGGGTCCGGCCCTGTGGCCTAGTGGTTAGGTTCAGCACACTCCGCTTTGGCAGCCCAGGTTCAGTTCCTGGGCGTGGACCTACACCACTCATCAGCAGCCATGCTGTGGCGGTGACCCACATACAAAATAGAGGAAGACTGGCACAGATGTTAGCTGAGGGCAAATCTTCCTCAAGCAAAAAGAGGAAGATTGGCAAAAGATGTTAGCTCAGGGCCAATCTTCTTCAGCAAAAGTAAATAAATAAATAAATAAAAAGAAACTTTATGCAACTATATTACAGGCAATTTTTAAAATGCAATTGTAATTGTGACAGACACTGCTAAAGTGACTTCTGTAGGTCTTACAGCCATTTAAGTTCCCACTAAGTGTGTACTTCCCTGTTTTCTCATAGTTTCTCCAATGAAATATGTTATCAAACTTTTGGGTTTAGAGAGGTGAAAAATAGTTCTCTATAGTTTTCACTGGAATTTCTCTTATAATGAATGAGATTGAGCAATTTTTTGTATCATTAAGAAACATCTGCATTGCCTTTTCTGCAAGCTGTTTATATGCCTGGTCAACTTACCTGTTGGGTTATTGGTCTTTTTTTTTTTTTTTTTTAACAATTTCTAGTAACTATTGGAGACTAGCTCTAAACCTCCCCAACAATATGTCTGTCTTTTGACCTTGTCTAAGGGTCTTCTGATATGCAGAATTACTTTAAAAATGTAGTATAATTTACAGATCTTTTCTTTATGGTGTCTGGATTTGCAGTCACACTTAGTAAGGCCAAACCTCACATTAAGGCAAGATGGAAATCTTCCATGCTTCCACCTAGAACTTTTATGGTTTCATTTTTAAAATTTTAAATCTGTCACTCATTTGGAATTTATCCTGATGTATGGTGTGACAAATGCATTCAACTTTATTTTTTGTTTTTTAATATAGTTATGTAGCTGTCTCACCATCCTTTATTGACTTTTCTTCTCACTGAACTGACATAAAACCTTTACCAAATTCCCTTTCATATTTGGGCTTATTTCTCTTTTTTTTTTTTTAAACAGTTTTATTTATTTATTTATTTATTTGCGAGGAAGATCAGCCCTGAACTAACATCCACGCTAATCCTCCTCTTTTTGCTGAGGAAGACCAGCTCTGAGCTAACATCTATTGCCAATCCTCCTTTTTTTTTTACCCCCCAAAGCCCCAGTAGATAGTTGTATGTCATAGTTGCACATCCTTCTAGTTGCTGTATGTGGGACACGGCCTCAGCTTGGCTGGAGAAGTGGTGCGTCGGTGAGCGCCCAGGATCCGAACCGGGGCTGCCAGTAGAAGAGCACATGCACTTAACCGCTAAGCCCCGGGGCCAGGCCTGGGCTTATTTCTGAACTTTACCTTCCATTCCATCGTGCTGATTATCCTTGTGCCAGTACTACTGTTTTAAATATTAAGACTTTATAATAATATTTTAATATCTGATAGGGTAACCTAACTTTATTCTGCTTTCTTAATATTTTCTGGTTATTCTTGTATGTATACTTTTCCAAATGAACTTTAGAATCAGCTCGTCTAATTTTTTTAAAAGACTATATTTTAACTGGAAAAATTAAGCATTACATTCATAAACAACCTAAGGAACTTAAAATCTTTATTATGCTAAGTCTATCTATCCAAGAACATGAGATATACCTCCATTTGAAGAAGTGTTCGTCTTCCAGTAGTTTTTTTAAAGTATCCTTTGTGGAAGCCTTGTATCTTTATTATTATAAGGTTTATTCCTAAATATTTTATATTTTGTTTTGTTCTTATATAAAGGGTCTTTTCTGCATTTTTATGTTTCAAGAGGTCGGTTGTGGAAACATGAAACCTAGTAATTTCTGTTTATTAACATTATACCTCATTACTTTACTGACTTCTCTTATTGTTTGTAGTAATTTAGCAGTTAATCCTCTTGAGTTTTCCAGGTATATCATCTCCTAATAATGAGAGTTTTACCAGCTCTTTTCCAATCCCTATGCATCTAATTTCTTATTATTATCTAACTCTATTGGCTAACATTTACTATACTAGTTGGAGCTTAATCTTGTTCCTGACGTTAACAGAACTACCTCTAAATCTATTTCCACTAAACATGATTCTGGCTCGTGTGCTACAAGAGACTTATTTTGCCACATTATTGAAATATCCAACTATTCCTATTATGACTTTATTTTTTAAATTAAGAATATATGGTGAATCAAAGTCAAACGATGATTCTTTAAAAACATTAATAAGGCAAGACTAATTATGAAAACAAAAAGAAAATATAAATTACCAAGGAATAAAAAATAGTGCACAATACAGTTCTTACAAAGATGAGAAAGAAATTATAAAGAACCTTTATGCTAAGAAATTTGACACCTAAGATAAAATGGACAATATCCTTGACAAACACCACAAAACAGATACCAGAAAAAATAGAAAATCATAAGTCATATTTATTTTAAAAAATGAACTATTTAAAAACATACAAAGAAAATGCCTCCCCTAGATGCCTTTACTATTGAATTCTTGCAGACATTTAAGGAAGAAATGGCATCAATCTTTTACAAAATCTTTCAAAAAATAGAAAACAAGAGAATAACTTTCCAACTAGTTTGATGAGAGCAACAAAACTTTGATAGAAAGAAAAATTACAGACCCATCTTTCTCATGAATACAGATGTAAAAATCTTAAATAAATACAAGCAAATTAGATGTTTGAGATCACTGATTCTTTAAAGTTTCTTATTTTATAGGGAAACGTCTGATCACAACCTTCATCTGCTCCATAATGATCCTTACTCACCTACTGATAAGTTTTGCTGCTCTGTCCTACCTTTTTTTTTCATGGTACCCTTGTATCAATGATGAGCAAAAGGTTTTTGACTACTCATCATTAAATGAGTTCGGTTTTCCTGGTACAACTATTTACAAGAGGTTTTAGGGAGAAGGAGAGGCCCAGGGTAGCCTTCCAGGCTACACAAACCAACAGCTCTCTTATCTGCTGCACAGGATACAGATGCAAATAAGGCCTCTCTGTGTGATTACACAGACTTACCTCTTCTGCTTCTCTACAATAATATGGTTGAAGAGGGTTACTGCTGCCAGCCATGCTTCCCTCAGTTCCCACACTAACCACTTCACAGAAAGGACACAGCCCTTTAGAGTGGGTGCCTCACCTTCAGAAAGGGTATTTTCTTTTCACTAGTGCTTTCTGAGAACCTCTGCCACTGGGCCTCCTCAACTCGCTGTGCCTCTTCTCCCCTTGTCCTCCCTCCTGGATTTTGTCCAATTTCAGCCAGACTCATCCCAGTTCCTGGTATCGAAGCTCCTGCAGCTCATCCCAGTTCCTGCCTTAGCTGTAGTAAACAAGGGATATAGACTTTCTGATAAGACTCCTCACCTTTAAGGATTCATCTTTAAGATGAAGAGAGTTCTCACCTTTAAGGTGGCAGATTCCCAGATTCTGGGCCATGGGCTCCCCAGCACCTTCCTGCACTTCCCCTGTGAATGGCTTCTCCTGGATCTCAGTTGCTTTGGACAGCATGTAGTTTGTGGATTATGCCTGCCTTTAGTTTCTCCAAAATTAGAGTTTGTATTTTCTTTGCTCCACTCTGCTTATGATTTTGTAGGATTTCCTTGATACAGGTAAAGATATTGAGACCTACACTATGATGTTCAAATATTCTAACACACTGTTTCTCAAACTTTAATGTGGATATGACTCACCGAAGGATTTTGTTAAAATGCAGATTCTAAATCAGCATGTCTGGATGGAACCTGAGATTCTGCATTTCTAACAAGTTTACAAATAGTGCTATTATTGTTCTACGGACCACACTTTAAGTAGCAAGAGAATAAATTACTAATGTAAAGCAATGGTTTTTACTTTGCTTTTTGCTGAAGATTAATTCCTTAAGCATACAAACCCTCTCCCTTAAAAAAGAAATAGGATAACTAACATTTATTGAGAAACTGCCATGGATATGCTTATGTAATAATCCCCATAATAACCCCACAAGATAAATACCACCACCACGTCACCATTTTACACATCAAGAGAAGTATAGATTAAGTAACTCATCAACAGAACACGGTAAGTAGCAGAGCCAGGGTGACCCAGGCAGTCTGACTCCTGAGCCAGCTTTCACACCCACTATGTTATAGGGCCTCCAAAGACCTCGTTTACCTACCCAAGCTAATTAAAGCTATTACAATCATATATCTGGCAGCTTACTAAGAAAACTTTAAATAACAGTTGATGTATCTTATTCAGACTTCACCATCCTTCCCTTAAATAGTCACAGACTAAAAAACAAAGATGAATATCTGACTTTTCTATTACCAAATCATTTTATTTCCCTCCACAGGAAAATGTTTTCTTGTACCACTGGGAGAAGTTATTACCACTGAAAGCTGGTTTTTTTCCAAAGTTTATTCAACCAGGTACTCAAATTTTGACTATTTCACTGAAATGACTCTTTAAAACTATGTCAGACAAACTACTTAAGTGATTTATCCTCAGCAATAGAACAGGTCAGGGATAGTACTAAGGAGAGATTATCATAGATTCATTGCTTTGGTTCCAAGAAATAAAATAAGCTGACAATGGCTGTACGTGGACAATTGAGCAACTGATAAAACTTTTCCCCAGAAAGCATAAGACCACAAATATTGGCAATCAATCAATCAAAATAATCAGTATCTATTATGCTAAGATGTCTGTAAATAATAGCTTTACTTTTGTATATAGGGATTATACTACTGGTGAGAGAGACTTAAACTTATACTTAAGTTTTATCTCAAGTAATTAACAATGACTTTAGAAGAACGTGTGCAGACTTTTTAATTACTTCCCGGCTATAGCTAAGCAATTGGCTCTCCATCGCTACAAAAACCTCACTGTAACAGCTGGAGTTTGGGGCAGTAGTTCGGTCTCTCCTTCGCAGAAGTTTAAAATAAACAAGTTTCTGACCACTTCTAAGTGGAGAACTTGACACAGAAGTCTGTTCATTTTTTACTCACAGTTAACAGATGATTGTAATTTTTTTCAGTATATATATGGCAGCAAGGTTCATACTATTCAAAACATTATATAATTACCCTAGGTTTAAGAGGTTTTACTGTTGGAATATCAGTTCCTTCTGCTCTCTGTCTGCTTGAATCAAAAGTCTTCCGTTTTTTAGTGGCAGTTTTCTGGCAAATGGGTCCATGTTTTTTCTGTTAAGATGAAGAAAATAATGTATCATTCTCTTTTGTACAGAAGAGAAGATATAAAACTTTATCTAAATTGTCATTTGAGACCAGTTTAAAAACATGAACATGAAACAATAAAAATACATAAATAAGACATACCTCGCTTTAACTAAAATTGTTAAAAAGTATATATAATACATGCTATAAGTTATCTTTCTCACAACGAGTAAATACAGATAAAATACTTTCCAAAATTTTATTAAGAGATATTTAATAGTCTTCTAGTTTTCACACTGCTAAGAATAAGGAAAATAAGGTAACCAAGTCAAAGCTGAGTGAAAAAAAAAGTTATCTTCATCACTAAAAACCTGAAAATAGATACTAGAAAAAGAATGTAAATGGAGAAGAATGCTTTAGTGTTAGGGGTACAAAAGTTAACACATTAGTAGTAGTTTGGGTTACCAAAGTTAACATAATAATAGTAATGTTAACATTAAATTAACATAAAATAATGAGACAAAGTGGTCAAATTTCTGTCCTTCCTCCACAATGACCCTTCTCCTCCTTTTTGGAACTCAAGCTTTCTACCTTTATTTTTTATTTATTTATTTATTTATTTGGTGAGGAAGATCAGCCCTGAGCTAACATCTGTCACCAATCCTCCTCTTTTTGCTGAGGAAGACTGGCCCTGGGCTAACATCCGTGCCCATCTTCCTTTACTTTATATGGGATGTCACTACAGCAGAGCTTGACAAGCAGTGCTTTGGTTCGCGCCCGGGATCTGAACCTGCGAACCCCGGGCCGCCGCAGCAGAGCATGCACACTTAACCGCTATGCCACCGGGCCGGCCCCTTTCTACCTTTCTTTACCAAGGATTTTTCTTGACCTATCTGGTGTTCCACTCCTATAGGTTTTTTTTAATAAGGTTGCCGACTCATTCGTTCAATTGTTCATTTATTCATTTTAAGGACACTGCAATAGAAGCTCTCTTAACTGACCTCCAATTAACCTAGCGGATAAATAATCATTCTCCTTCCCCTAAATAAAACCTGTTGCCTGATGATATCAATGCACTAAATACACTTTTTTTCTTTTGTATTTTGATAAACACTGAACAGGCTGAAACTGTTCAACTTCGGGAAAAGGGGAAATCAGAACTGGTTGGTTTGGTGTCGTTGAGCCTCTCTGTGAGGCTCTCTGTGAAAATACTGTGTATTTTCAATACACAGTAATTAATTGTTTTACATGCTCGTTTTCAGTTTTCATTTCGACAAACAAGCACTGTAATTGCAGCTATTAGAATAAAATCTCTTAAGTATTAGAAAAATAATAAAAGTGTGGCTAGCAGGCGACTTTCTAGTAGACCAACGTACATCTGTTCCCATAAATTGAGTTGTATATGTCAAAAGTATTTGGTTCTTGTTCCTAAACCTAATGATACAAGCAGTAGTTGTTATAGTGATTATATCATTTAATTAAATATTAAATAAATAAATTCAGGCAAAAGACGACTTTTTTCCCCTGTAAAAACTCAGCTGAATGCTTGGAAATGGTTTGAAAAATAGTGAATCGATTGAAAAAAAAATCACTGAATTAAGTGCAGGCAAGACATTTTTAAAAGATTAAGAAAGAAGCTGTTATTATTTAAAAGGAGTCTGTAGTCATGTGGACATTCATGGTTCATTAATTTTTCACTTTGCTTTAAAGAAACAAACTGGAAATAGTAAGAGGTGGAAAACAGATTGTGGCAAAACTCTAATCAGCAGATCCATATTCAAAGAAAAGTCTTTATGCTACATCAAAATATTAATAAATGTATACTCATGTTTGAAGTAAAAGATTTAAGATACATAGGTTTTTTTTTTTTCTTATTCTCTATTTAGCTATTTTTTATTAAAATCAGTTAAAAGTGCTTCTATTTGTATATACTAAGTATCTAAAAGTAGCTAGAGAATGCATAATATATTTTAGGTGCACTTTTAATTGAAAAAAATTTTTCCTTGGAATATTTCAAATATACATAATTGAGAGAATAGTGTCATAAACTCCTATTTACTCATCACCCTGTTTTAACAATTACCAACATTTTAGCAATCTTGTTTCATCCATCTCAGCTTTCTTTCCTGAAGTACTTTAAAGCAAATCCCAGATATCATTCCGTATCTTTAAATACATTATCATGCATTTCTAACTTTTTTGTTTTGTTTTTGTTAATATTCCCAGAAAGAGAAGAATACTTTAACACTTTAATAGAGGAGTTTTGAAGACCAATCAAACTCGGAAGGAAAAAGACTGCTCTGCAAGAATGACAGATGCAACTGATGCTCTTGAACAAAGAACACTAGCTAGTATCTTTAAATTATTCCACAGAGGTTCTTTCCATGTGAGTTGTCCTGAGTATTGAACAATTACTGATCTACCAAACCCCAAAGGAAAGAGGTACTCACTAATGCCGCTGGAAAGAATGTTCTTCCACAAATCTTGCAAGGTAACAATTCTCCAACCTGGACACTTCCATTTTCTAAAACGGAAAAGAATTTAATCAATTCTATAGTTCAACTTGTGAAAATTCCTAATTTTAATATTTTCCCTTAGTTTATAGGTAAGTTGTGAGTTTTTGTGAAATGTGTCTTGTTTCACTTTGAAACAAGCAACATTATTGATTGAAATGGGCACAAGACTTAAGAGTTATCAGTGGTCAAAAAGGCCACGCCAAATACAGAAGTCATGATTTAAGGAAAACCAAACTGATATGGTTGGAAATATCTGGTTTTCTTTTATTTTAATCAAATCAATTTGTCATATTCTCTTAATTTATAGGCTATCTCTTTTGTAAATTACTAAACTTTCAAAACCAAATTTATCTTAAGGTTAATTTTATTTATTATTAATCTTCAAAGCATTGAGAAATAACATTGGTGATCAGCAAGGTGGCTTCCTAAGATGATGTAGGGAGTCTAGGATAAAAACAGTCTTGTCAGAACAAGAAATCAATATCAGACAACAAGAAGTACAACACCTTAAGGAAAAGATCACCTAGTTGTTATGCAAACTGCCTGTATTATGCGAACTGTTCACTATTTTATACATATAATATTATATTAAGATTCACTGGACCAGCAAATTGAGATATACTGACCTTATGGGCACAAATCATTAAATAAAGAAGAAATAGCTGCAACTTTTACTCAATCAAAAATTATTACATCTACCATGTACTTGCATGCAACAAATTTTGTTACTAAAATGATAAAAAGAAAAAACCTACATTCTTTGAGATTCTACATAACTGAGTCAATTTGTCATTTTATTATCTAGCCAAATATCAAACAATTTCCATACCTTCAATTTTCTAAATACGATACTTGAAATTATATCTTTACCATATTTTCTGAATATTTTACTGATTGTTAAAATTCCTGTATCATATGAAAGACAAATAGAAAAATATTCTCTTTTAGAAGTAACATAAATAAACTCATGAGAAAAGTACATTTATGACTTCATATAATTTGTTCCAAGGCATTTAGTGAGTTTACAGAAAACTAATCAGGAGAATCACAATAGCCATAGGTGGGAATACAGACAAACAGTCACAGAAAAACTGTTTTGTTCTCTCACTCTCCTAACACTCCACGGCCATATTTTAGTGGTAGATAGGGACTATTTGTCATCTCAGATGGAGGCAATATCTCTATGGTGGCAATTAAGCACTGGACACTACAAAAGCAAAGCTAATTGCTTGATTTGTCCTTCTCCAATATCAGAGGCTAGGCTAGGTTATTTCGGGAGAGCAACTTCATTTATCTGGATCACTTCATTCCACTATCTAGAAAGTTGAGGCAGTCGCTGGATCAAATCCATTATGCACATTAAGATAAGAATGTCTTCATAAGGATGGTCAGAGTGATACCACATGCTGCATAATCTATTAAGCTTGCTTATTTATAGCTTTCATGTATTCCTTGAAATTCTAAGCAATGACTTAAAAATTCATCAACACAAAATATGAACATGTATCATATATCTTACTTGCTTAAAAGTATATTTCAGTATCTCCTTGTCAAATGGATAACAAAGCAAAATCTTACAAAAATTAACTATTGAGAAAAACCAATTCAACAGATGGAAATAACCTGAGTGCCTACTCCAGCACCTACTACTTGCCAAGCATGTACCATGTCACAGTGACACAAGGGTGGAGTAACATAATCACGCCCTCATAAAGCCACGAGTCCATGTGATTTACTTCTTCACCATATCTAAGAACCAAATCATCTCCCACTTTTTTTATTAAAAAACTTAAAACTTAACAGCAACTAGAATACTACTATATAATAAAACTCAACTCCTGGGATTAATTCCTACAAGATATCAAACGTGTTTAGATTGTCCTTAAAGGAAAAGTAAATCATTATCACTAAAAGGCATAAAAAGGAGGAAATAGCATTGAAAAGAAAGCATCTAAAAACAATTATCTTGAGAAACAAAAAAAATTTTAAATGCATTACTTTATTCAAAGTAAATAAAGATATATATAAATTTGTAATTTCCTCTTATATTAGCTGTTCATAGAGCACAGCCCTTTAATTCACAAAATATGCCATGTGCATGTGTGTCGGTGTCACCACACTCTGGAAAGAACTTCTACCAACAGGTCGTGATAAGCAGCTTAGGCTTTAGAGTCACAAGCACATTCTGTTCTAATGGTATTCATTAAAAGACATGACAGTGTAGTAAAAAAGGCACTGGAATTTGTCTCTTGTTATCTGAGTTCAAGTTCCAGCTCTGTCACTTAGAACTGAATCCCTGGGCAAGATATTTAATCTCTCTGAGGTTCAGATTCTTCTTGTATAAAACAAATAAGTTAAATGACCTGATTTGTGGCCCCCTTCTATCTCTAATATACCATAATGAATACACCATACTTATTTAATAAAATCTACCTTAAGATCACATTAGCAAGAAAAGTACACAGACAATAAGACACTTCCCTTATTGGTGTTAAATTTTTAAAAAATTGGTTATATATAAGAATTATTAAACTAATTGACCAATTGCAGATAGTGGAATGACTGCTTCAGGTACTGTGTAGTATGTAGAGGAAATCACTTTCACTTGTCTATATACAGAACTGAGAATCTGCAAGGACCTATAGCAAAGAACATGACGTCTCTCTCCTGGCTGGAAAAGTCTTCACTACATGACCTAGAAGGAAATGTATGAGTATATGTATCATATAGGTAGCTTCAATTCAACATCTGTTAAATAAGGATAATACCTGCTCAACCTGCCTTAAAATTTAAGAGCATCAGCTGAGATGTTATATATAAAAATGCTTCAAAACCAATGACATAAAACATACTGCTCTCCAGGGCATGCAGGCAAACTCCACTAATCTCTCTTGAGTGGCAAAAGCTAGCAAACGGCGCAGCTTATAAAAACACAGTAAAGGGATGATATTCAGAGGGGTGATTATTGCAGCAGAGAGCATTGTTGAAAGAAGCACTCAAACTGAAGGACAGAGCCAACTAAATAAAGTACTTTAATATTCTAAAACTCTCAAGAGCCAATCTCTCCTTATAAAATTTATCCAGCATACATTGTTGATTCTGTTACCGGTTGCTGTACATATTCAGCAACTTCAAAACCTGCGCGATAATAACGCTTGAAACGGTATCTTTATATAACACCATTATATAGGTGATGTGAAATAATATGCCGTTATCTAAAATAGTTATGAATTCTAAAATGTACACATTTAAAAAATGAGAGAGAACATTTTCAAAACAAAAGAAATCTTGGAAATTAAGAACAGTTCTGGCCTCTGTGTAGCATGTCTATTTCCTCACCACTGGTCACTGCTCATCTGAATCCAACCTTTAAAACTCAACAAACCTTTCTTTTGAAGCATATGACATTTGCACCACTTTCTTCTTATAATCCTTTTTTAAAATCTAATTACTTCCAGATCAACAATCTCCAATATCTCACAAGATTTTCCTTTTTCAGCTCATCTTAGACTACAACATTTCAAATTCACACTTAACCTGCTCAACACATAACCTTCACCCTCCACCCCATTTAGTCACCTGCACTCCAGTTCAGCAAAAACCACTGTTACAAAACACTAACCAGCAAAAACAACTTAGAAAGGGGTCACCTCCGGACTCTCAAAATACTCAAGCTCCCTCTCCAACCAGAGACTTCCACCTTCTACCTCTCTCTAAATCACACTCCTGATCTCAGAGTGACTCGCATTTTCTTGATAACCGGTTCTGGCCGCACTTCCCTTCCTTCCCAGTCTGACCCTGACTAGTCATTTCCACCACTTTTCACCAATCACCCTCAAATCCCTTGCTCCCATGGTCAAATGTTTAGAAAATGCTAGATTAAACAAATGAGTTTTCTTAGAGTAGAACTTCCTCAGTCTTAAAAAAGGGATTTAGCATGCCCTTATTTCCCCAACAGAAATCCTTTCTGCCCCTAAGAGATATTTGAGAGCCACGTCCTGAGTAGCACATTTTTTTGAAACACTGGCTTACATTTACTGATTACCCACTCTCCCCCTCTCATTCTCTCCTTATCAGAATTGCAGGCAAACTGTTATATTATCAGGCCTAACCACCACATTAAAATAGATGTATTCATTGATAGAAGTACTTATTGAGTAGCAAGGCTGAGACAGGAACTGTTCTAGGAGGCAGGCACACAGTGATGAAAAAAACCAAGACCCTGATCTTATGGAGCCTCTATTCTTCTAATAGGGAAAAAAATAAATAAAAACAATTAAATATATAAAATGTCAGGTAGTGATAAGCATAACGTAGAAAAGTAGAGCAGAGTAAGGGGAGAGAAGATAGTTATAAGGCTCTGTGTATGTGTGTTTGAGAAGTGGGTAGGATCAGGGAAACCTTTAATAAGGAGATACAGTAGAGACCTTAAGAAACAGAGGCAACTGATCGTCGTTAATCTGCTAATTGTCAAATTCAGAGCCCTCTTTTGAATCCTCATCCTACTGGACCTTTCTACAGCATGAGGCACTGCTGATCAGTTCTTGCCACCTTTAAAAGTCTTTCTTTCTTGGCCTCAGTGATATTTTTCTCTCCTAAGCCCAAGTTTTACAGATCTCATAAACTAAGCAGGGTCTGACCTGGTTAGTAGTCAGACCTCCAGAAACACCAGATGCTGTAGGCTTTTTCTGGCACATATTCACTGTTCAATAAATATAGGCTTCTCCCCAACTTTCCTTTCTTGACAATTTTTAAACCTCTTTAAAGACTCCCTTCCACTCCAATCTTCTTTCCTGCTCAACCCTAAAACATCAGTTCCTCCCAAGTTTCTTTCCTCATTTTGTTAAATACAGCTTTCCTGGGTGAATGCATCCATTTGCTATCACTTATCTACTGATGACTACCAACTAAAAACCCCAGATAGAGATTTCCAAGTAGCTATGAGACTTTTCCACCAGATATCTCCCAAGTGCTGTAGAAACACATTTCTAGAGCCAAACTCATTACCTCATCTCCCAAACTTGGTCTTCCTCTTGGTTAAAGACACTTAATACTCCCTCTTAGTCCGAGCTATAAAGCTGTTTTATCTTTGATTCCTTTTCCCTCTCACATTCGGTGGTCATGTCTCATCTTTCCATCTCAGAAATGTCTTCTAAATCGTTCCTGCTACTTTTGCCCTAGTTCAAATCTTCATCACATACATGTATTTCCCACCTCCCCATTCTCTCGTCTATCCTGCTGCCATAGTTATCCAGTGAGATTGCCCACAATCCCTCCCAAGCACGCAATGTCTTACCCATACTGAACCATGCTTAAGCTCCTAACACACTTCCTGGGATACTGTGATTTTATCCATCCAAAAAACAAGTACTGAAGGGGCCTTCTATGTAGTAGGCACTTTGCAAAATGCTTTATATATGCTACCTCATTTAACACTCAGTATAGTTCAGGTAGATTGGCATTGACGGCTCCATCTTTTATAGCTGAGGAAACTGAAATTCAGGTGAAGTAAACTGCCCAAATCATAGAGCTAAAAAGAAACCTAGCATGGATCCAAACACAGGCCTTTCCAACACACTGCCTATTAAAATATCTAGCATCTGACTCAGTACCAAAAAACAATGAATGCTAGATAAATTAATCAAGATGAAGAATTATTCAGGAAACTAGTATGAGTTTAGACTAGGGAAAAACAAAACAAAAAAGAAACCCTAATGGGACAGGATGGCTGTCTTCAACTAGATCAAGGGCTACACTGAAGAAGAGCAGACTTCTAATCAAGTTTTAGAGGGCAGTACACTAAGATCTACTAATTTTAGCAGTGCAAAAGAGGAATGGGCAGCCTAATCTTATGAAAGGAATGACAATACTGTACATGGATAAAATCTGCTTAGAGTTTATCACCTTCCCATTTTACAGATGAAAAGCTTATGAGAGATTAGAACTCTCCCAAGTCTAGAACTATTTCTATTGCCTTTAGATATATCTATAGGGCACGAGCTTTAGGTGAAAAGAAATTAAAGGCTTTGCTCTAATTACCTACACAATGCAGAAGTGCTCAGATATAGATTATACAAAATCATTAGTAATAATTCATATTTGGTTTTGAAAAACAAGGTTCAGCCTAATAGCTCATCTCTTGACAATCCAGGAAGCATAAAAGTCCCAGAAGACCAAAAATAATACACACAATTGGTATACGATCTACATGCAGATAATTTATAAGTTACAAGAAAGAGTATGATAATCTTCAATAGAATTTTTCAGGGGTCCATATATTTTCTGGTTTTACAATCAAGATTACTCTAGTAACTGGTTTTAGCTAGAAATGTGGGTCTAATGCCAAACAGTACAATATTTACTCAATTACTAAGACATGTTAAGCAAACTCTTGATGATTTTTTTACTGGGTACTGCAATATAATGTTTATTAGACACCTTCAAAGCGCTAGACTTTAGCTTTCAATAGTGCAAAAACTTTATTTTATCTATCATTGTTTCAATGTATCAATGTTTATTAAATGAAGGCATAGATGAATGAATTAATGGTAACCTTAAGACTCAAAGTTTTGATCTTTGCAAAGTGTGACCTAATAGGGACTGAATTGGAAGAAGGAAAGAAAGAAAGGCACTGTCCTAACTTCAACAAAAAAACTCTAAGAGCTTTTATTAGTCTAAATCACTTGAAATTACCAATATCCAATTGTTTTGCCATACAAAAAGGACAATTTCATATATTTTAACCTAACACACTAAAATTAAACACATCATAATGATAGCAACTCATTTTGTTAAAAAAAAATATATCAAATGAAGAGTAAAGACTAAGTACTGTTTAACATGATACATCACAAGCTGGGCCCCACAAAACACACCCGTCATAACATACCATATTACATCAGGATTCACGTACTTCTCCACCCCTGTAATTGAGTATTATAATAGGTTTTTATTATATTTTAAAAGCATTCTTAGTAAGATTTCAATAGTGATGTTTTAGCACTGCTAAAATATAAGGTTCACTAAAACGTAGGCTCAATGAGAGTAGGGCTTTGACTTTTTATTTTTTTGCTGTATCCCCAGGGCTTGAATGGTGCCCATCACAAAGTCATTTATCTAACAACAAATATTGAGTACCTACTTTGTGTCAGACACTATTTTAGGTGCTCAGCGTACATAAGTGAAAAACCTGACAAAGATCTTTGACTTAATTACAAACGCTGAATAAAATAATGAAAATCTGCAGAGACACTGTTCTAAAGCACATTAAGGGTATACGATAACCTTAGGAGAATTCCAGAACCCATGATCCTACCCACTGTGCTATAAAACCACCAATGTTTTAAAATTTGTAAAAAAAAAGGTAAGCTGCCTCCAGAAGTCTTCTAAACAAAAGTATTTTGAAAGTAAGGAGCACTATGATTACAAGTCCTACTTCATTGAAACTTGAATGATCTGCCTAAAATAAATTGAATAAGCACGGATCAAGACCTTCATTTGTCATAATATACTGCAGCTGCCCACAAACGGCGAATTATCAGAATTGCTGATTAGCTATCATCCTCAAGGTGTTTACTATAAGAGCTTCACCTCAGAGCAAAAGCATTATATTTGCATTGTGGTGCGCTTAGGTCACTGCAAAAAGTTACCACTTATTACTTTCCACTTCATAACACAACCTGAAATAATTCACTCTCCAGCATGCAACGATGCCTAGAGGCTCAGTGCCTCTGCTTATTAATTCCACCTGAATCTACGTAAATTAGGAGAAAAAAGCTAAATCACGACCACAGGATCTTTGAATTCTGCAGGCTTATTCTTCACCAGAAGGATTAACCACAATTTGAAAAAGAACCTTGAAACTGCTGTCGCCAGTGCTAGGTGGGTTTTTTTTCCTTTGTTGTTTTGAGGCGAATGCAGTATTACACTGGATAAAATGGGTAAAGAGAACGGAGAAAGAGTGAAAGAACTGGGAACAAAGCAACACCGGGAGTCATGGTTACAGCATAAGGATAAACCCAAAGATAAGGAACCAATGCTGGCCCTTCCTTGCAGAGTCGTCGTGAATAAACCCTGAGGTCCTGCCGTTAATCTATTGTCCCGGCTCTAAAGCTCGCCAGCGACACTTCCTCGGGAGACGCTCTTGGCATCCCCTCCATAGAAGATGCTGTAGAAAGGGAAAAACGGTTACCCAGGGAGACCGGCCACGGGAAGTGTCAAAAGCCGAGGGTGGGGACACACCCCGGGGCCCGAGAAAAGACGGGAGGTGGGGAGGCGGTGGACATGAACGGACCGTCCACCTTGCAAGGAAAATAAAATCCGGCCAGAGGCTGTGACTACCAAACGGACGCCCGGGAGTCAAGCAAGACCCGAAAATGGGAGGAAGGGACCCGCAGGCGTGTTCAGAAGCCAGACCGGGCTCCGGGTGGCGCACCCCAGCCGAGGACCGTCCGAGGAGGGCAGCCTGAGGGGGCCGTCGGGCTCCAGCCCCCGCCTCCGGAGAGGCCGCGGGGCCCGCCGCTTCGTCCCGGCGCCGGCCTCCCCGGCCCCGGCGTCCACGGCGCCTCAGCGGCCCCCGCCCCGCATCCCTTCCCCTCTCACCTCCCAGCCCCTCCATCGCGCCGCCACGCACAGCTCGCCGCGGCTCCTCCGACAGCGCCCGCCGCCGCCCAGCTCCCGCTGTAGCAACCCGGCCGCGCCTCCCACCCGCTAACATCCCGGCCTCCCATTGGCCGGGCGCTGGCGGGGCGGGGCTCCGGGGGCGGGGCCTCGAGGGGCGGCGCGCCTCCCGCCGCCGCCGCCGCTGCCGCTGCGCCGCTGCCTCCTGACGCCGAGCGTTCCCGTCGCCCTGTAGCGCGTGCGGCCGCCAGACAGCGCCTTTGTCCGCCCGCAGCGTCGTCTCGCTCACACCTTCTCCTTCCGTGGGGACTATCTCAGCACCTCGTGGGCCGCCGTCGCCAGTCCCCCAGTCGGTGCAGCTCTGTCTTCTCGTGTGTCCTCTCTGAGGACTCGGGGCAGACAAACCAAACGCGCGCCCCACGCGCTGGTGTGCAGCACACTCTCCATTTTCCGCCACTTGGTCACACGGCTTCACCTGAGTGTGTTCCCTAGACTTCACCTTCACACACCGCCTTCTGAGTTAAGGCGCCTTTTCCTACTGAAATAGTGCTTTTCCCCGGGATTGTGGAACTGAGATTGCTGCAGGCGCTTGAAAACGGTGTCCTCAGCCTGAGAGCTTGGGCCCCAAACGAGCAGGGAAACCGCGCCCTCCCTTCACTTCATCTCCACTCGGCCCACCCTGGCCCTGTCCTTCATCATCCTGGAACTGAAAAGTCGTCTGGCCTCGAACTTAGGAGGAAGCAGGGAAACTGTGTTTGCTCCTGGAGTTTAAGGGAACTGACCTACCTATGTCAGAATGAGGCCTGTGTCCGAGTCACAGCCTCTTGGGGATGAAGGGACCTTCAAAACGAGCTAAAACCTTTGCTTAACAGTTGAACACTTTTCACCAGAACTCAATTTCTTTGAAAATTTGATTTGGCAGTGATCAACAAGCCAAATTGTTTGTTAACTCTTGTGTATCTACTGGCGAGTTGTCAGTATTAATGCAATTATCATACGTCTTACATTAATTTTCTCATTAATCTGTTCAATTGCCAAGTTTTGACATCATTTCTAACTTTGTCTACTATTAAAAGTATGTATCTTACAACAGGGTATATCTTACTGTATGTAGCCTTTGGGAAGCAAGAATCCTCCTACTCTCCATTCAAATGGATGTGTTATAAACAAACAAACGCTGGGGGGCACATCATCTCTTACTGAGAAGGTGCTCTAGCCCATCTCGTGTAAGTCTCGGACTCCTGCCCTTCCCCTGGTTCTGCCCTGGCTCTCTGCTCTTTGGGGATCTGAGATCCTGGACCTGGTTTGCCAAACGACAAGCACAACCACCTCTTAGCCACCCTGTGCTAACTGTGGAAAGGACCTTTTTCCTCAGTGCTGTGAAGACAAAATTAGGATTGGAGGCGGGAGGAACTTTTAAAAGGGCACTGAGGAAGAAAAAAGCACACATAGGAGAAAACCCAAAAATAAAGAAGCACTTTACAAATTACAAGTTCTTGAACCGAAGTCAAGACAAAAATTGAGTTGGCTGATACACACCTTAGTGGGAATAAAAGCTACAATATCAAAAACAATAATGGTAATCAGAATTTAAAAAATCATGCCAGGCTTGTTTTAGGTTCTTTTCATATATTCACTTATTTAATCTTCAAAACAATTCTACAGAGTAGATACTATAATTTTCATTTTTCAGAATTGAAGTCTTCATTTTCTAGATGTCTCAGAGAGATTAATTGTTTTGCCAATATCTATACTACTAGTGAATGGTAGCTTGGATTTAAACTCTGGTCTGTGATTCTGCCTATGATGATTTCATGAAACTCCTCACTTTCTTCCTTCCTCAATTTGCCTTCTGGTTGCCTGAGAAGTAAATCCAAATGTTCAGATATGTTGTTTAAGGTATATTTGGGTAGGCATTACTGTGAGTCTTAATTCTCTAAAATGTGCCTGCTAATCTTCTCTACAGGTATCGGGCTCTCAGCGCTTTGATGCTACCCTGGCTCCTGCAGCTTTCCCCTGGTCCTGACGACTTGGTGAAGAGGACAATTTCTTATCTGTCTTCCTAAGGTCTTTCCTCTGCCTCCTACATGCCTGGCCTGACAGTCTCTTTGGTCTTGGTGCTCTCTTCTGACTTTACTTCCTCTCTGATCTGTTTTGTTTTTCTGATACATTCATTCAACAAATATTTGTTGAGTACCTACTATGTTTCAGACCCCTTTCATTACTAGCCAGTTACTAAAATGAATGCAGCTCAGTTTCTTTTCTTATGTTCCTAGGCTCTTATCTGTTCGTAATTTTCTTTAGCTGCCAAGTGATCTTTTTAGGTGATGACAACATTCATAGACAAATATGAATTAGAGATCTCACCACCTCTTTATCATACAAAAAAGAAAGCAAAGGTTCAGAGATGCTTACTGACTCAATCCAGATTACAAAACTAGTAAGTAGCTGAAATAGATATTGTACTCTGGTCTTATTACATCACGTCCCTGATTGTTTCCACTTTGCATTACTTTCCCTCAACCACCATTTCCTGGAGCCAATCCACATCTCCTTTGCCCCTTCTAAAAGGCTGAGCAAGCTACATATATCTTCTTGTTTCAAAGCTCCAACTTCCTGTTGGATCTTACACAAAGATCAGCTTCCCTTTCAGACAACCTTTGGCTCTCATTCAAATCATTTGCAGAGCACAGCTAAATGAGATTCTGAAACTCAGTGAGAATCCAACTCAGTTTATCAACTCTGCTATAACAGGGCGTTTCTTCCCTCCACAGCCTCCCGAGGAATGATCCACCACAATTTAGTATGTCAAAATTCATTCATACATTTGGTAATCATAACAAAATGATAATTTTCATCGAAAACAAAAGAAGCATATTTCCCTTAAAAGTGGGGAGAAGGGGCTGTTGAACAGTGTTCTAGACCAAAGAAGCACGTTCTGAGTTGGCTCTTGTTAGTTTTATTTTATAGATTGAAGTAAAAACAAAATTCTTTAAGTGTTCAGGGAAAAAAATAGTGATAGTCCTAGACAAGAAAACACCAAGAAAAGGGAAAAAAGAGGACCTAAAGCAAACTTTGTCTCCTTGATTGATTGGAGGGCTACTCATTCACAGTGTGATAGCAATTATTCCACCTCTTCCTCCTCTAATTCCAGAGGGAACTCCAATTCCAAAAGGAACTGCTCTTCTCCTCCACTTTCAAAACTAATTTCCCAGCCACAAAAGGATAAATTTTTTCAACCTTCAGTTATAATCCCATTTTTCATCCTTGCCACTACAATTCCAAATCTCATCTGAAAATCGACTAATCCAAATACTTACTGAGATACTCCTATGTAAGCAACACTGTTCTAGGCACAACAGAAAGCTCTGAAGAAGTCTCTCTGGTCTCTAGGAAGCTAACATCTGGTAGAGGAATCCCTGGGCAAGACATAATACAGAGCAATAGAGGACAATATATTCGATATATTGTTGTCTTAGATGTTGTGGTACAGCTTATACAAGTTAATTGGTTTCAGGAAGATATTTACATGAATGGAACAATTTTAAAGGTTTTATAGAGAAGTAGAACTTAAATTATGTCCTGCAGAGTGTCATTGGTTAGGTAAAGATCACTGGGGATGAGGGAGTAACGGCATAAGTCTCCTTAAGAAAAGAATGCGAGCCTAGCGTGTTTTAGGACAGTCAGTAAAGAAGCAAAGAGAGTTTTGTATATATTTTTGTTCATGTTGTAACATTTTTTCCTCTTTAACTTACAAAGGACGGGAATTATGGTTATATAATTTACATATCTTTAGCTCAATCTGTGTTTTTTTAAGACTGATAATTGCTTGGAGGTGCCAGGAGTCGAACCCGGGGCCTCATGCATGCGAAGCATGTGCTCTTCCAGTGAGCTACACCCCCTCACTGTTTGTTTATATATATTTTTAATCTCAGGTGCAGGGTGTTGAGTTAATAATACTTCCTCATGTACAGCATATACATCAACTGTCCGTGCAAAGTCACCTCTTCTTTCTTTTTTCCATTTTATTATTTTGGCTTGCATTCTCCATTTTAACTCCATTGACCAGCCTCCTCTCTGTAAGCACTATTATATTGAATGTAAGCTCTCAGCTCACAGATATCTTTATATATATGTGGTTCTCGATACATATATGGTACTGTTTTATATATGAATCTGTTTTTAATTTACGTACATGACATTATACTGTAGCCTTTATTCGGTTTGTAATTTTTAAATAAATATTCATTTAGAGATGTACTCATGTTGGTGTGTAACACTGGTTTATTGCTTCTGAATGCTGGATAGTATTTTGCTCCATGTGTGTACTACATTTTATTCACCCATTCCTGCAGTGATGGACACCCAGTTGCCTCTAACCTGCTGCTACAATGAACATCTTTGTGCCTGTCCCCTTATGAACCTGGGCTCAAGTTTCTCTGGGATGCATCCCTGGAATGGATTACTGGATCATATTTATTTCTAGTGAGTATGCCCAGATTGCTGTCTACAATGGCTGTGTCAGTGTACCTTCCCATTAGCAGTGTGCAAGAGTGCCCATCCTCCTATATCTCATTAATAGCTGGCTTATCTCTAATTTTGGCCAATCTGTTGGGAGTAGTAAGTTGGGCATCTCTTCATATACTTGCTAATTCAGATTTGGCTTTAAATGAATTGCCTAGTTTTATCCATACTTTATATTGCAAGTCTCATCTTTTTCTTATGGATTGTTAAATTCCTTGTGTATTCTAGATGTTAACCTCTTGCTAATTTTGATTATTTTAAAACTATTTTTCCAGTTTGTCAAATATCTGATAACTTTGTCTATGATGCCTTTCATTAAACAGAAATCCTTACCTTTAATTCTATCAAGTCCATCAATATATTTTTCATATGAATTGTGCACTTGAGTTTTTATTAAAGTTTTCTTTACCTGTAGATTATGAGGGTATTTGCATACACATTTTTCTATTAGTAGAGCCAAGTCTAATCCTAATAAAACAGAGACAATTTAGAGACAGACCGGAGAGGACAACAAAAACATTTTTTTCTAGTGTCTTTTATGTTATGG